AAGTAATCTTCGACGGTATTGTCGAAGCCAAAACCACGCCAAAGAAAGGCGATCTAAGGACGTGAATGTGGCCGTAGGTGTCGAGTTCGATTCCGTAGTCAACGGCGGGATCCGCCATGCACCATGAACTTGAAGACGAGCAATCCCCTCTCTGAACCAAGAGAGAAGAGAGGGGCCGATTTGGATAGGAGGAAGGGGCCGGCGGTGGATCTAGGGGAGATGAGAGGGATTAGGTTGAGAAACTGAAATTGATTTCAGTTTCAAAGGATTTAGGAGGGAAAATTTTGGAATTTTAAATTTGAAATCCCAAATTAAAGAGGGGAATTATTGATCATTCAATGGGAGAGCCAATAGGGGGCCGGCGGCATCAATAGGGGCTAGGGTTTGTGGAAAACTGAAGGAAATTTCAGTTTTAAGTGAAATTGGAGGGAATTATTTTAAAATTAGAATTTGAAATTCAAAATAGGGAGGGGATTAATTGAGCAATTAATGGGAAGCCCAATGAGGGGGGGCCGGCGGCATCATGGTGATGGGGAGGAGATTAGAGAATGGGGAGGAGGTTTCCAAATGGGGAGGATGACTAGGAAAGAATTTCTTCATGAATCTAATTTCATTTCGATTGAAATTGAATTCAAAATTATAAAACTTTCCTAATTTGGAACATCCCAATTGGAAATAATTTGAATTTGAAATTCAAATTACTAAAGGGGTTAGGGGAGAGAGGGGTGGTGGTGGGAGGGTGAGAGAAGTGGTTGGCCGGCGGGAGGGATGCCGGCCGGCGGGATTGTGGTGGCCGACGGGTGGGGCTCCAAGGTGACGGCAAGTGTGGAGGAGGCCGGCTTCTTCCCACTTGTTGATGTGGATGGTGGCGTTTGTGGAAGAGGAGAAGATCAATGGGACTTGAACAATTTGGGACTTGTGGACTTGATGCAATGGATTTCATTGAATTCAAATCTAAGTGAATCATAACTTAAGCATGACTCAATGAGCTAAGACTTGAACTCAAATCTAATTGAAATGAACATGAACTTGGACTCACATTTGAACGACTCAAATTTGATGTGGACTTGAACATGTTTGAACTCAAGCAAAGACTTGAGTTGGACCACAGGGAACTCGTACAATGGAGGATGGATGCTAATACTAAGAGAACTCACAAAGAGATCTCATGTGAAGAACTCACTAAGAGATCTTCTTGAACTCACAAAGAGAACAAACAATAGAAAATTTCATTTCTTCATCAATACTCCACTATTACAAGAGAAGGGCCATATAAATAGGCCTCACAATGACAAAGAAAAACAAAAGACTAAAATGCCCTTGGGCTACATTAGCTACCAAATACCCATAAGGGCAAAAACGGAAAAACATAAAATAAAATTAAACTACTACATAAAATGATGAAAATAAAAATCATGATCGTGGTCGTCGATCTCTGGCATCTCCTGAAGTAAATGTGTTGTAATCTGATGTCCCCATCAAGTTGATTGTGTGATTGAGTTTTGATACATTAACTACGACCTGGACTTCTTTTTATTGCATGCAACTTCAATTACGTGTGTTGATTTGTGCTCCTTAATTATTTTTATCTGTTTGCTTCTTAAAAAAAGTCAATAAATTTGCAATCAAATTTGGGTTAAACTTTTTCAAGTTTGCATTGAAGGCGGAAAATAATTCATTTAAGATTAAAAGCCGATTGGCACCTATAGTTCCCATGCTTATCCTGAAACCTAAATTTGCATGATAATAAATGGATTTCAATATTAATCGAAGTTCGCATGTAGTTTAGCAACTTAGCCCCGCATAACTGTTCTCGTACCAAAATATATGAATTTCATTGTTGCAGATGGAGGCTTTTCTGTAATTTCTGGGTAGTTAATAATCATCTATGTAGCATATAATCACTTTTTTATGGCAATCTAAGTTTATTTAGCCATATATTCCCCACATTGCGTCAGGATTTATTTAGATTAAGGGTTGAGACTTTCTACAAGCACAAACTTCTATAACTAATTATCCCTACCAATCATGAGAAAGCACTGTTAATTGAGGAGATCAATCAAAATCAATTTTAGGCTTAGATTTAGTTAATAGGGAATGTTTGGTGGATGAAGGAAAACTAAATAAAGACGTCAGTTTTTAGACATCTTGGGTGTGGCAATGGATCCAGTTTGCCAACGTCAAAGAGCCTTGAGCTGTAACATCCAAAGAGCCTATTTAGTAGTCATGGGTTACCTCTATTTAGGTACTTCAACATACTACGGTGGAACAAGTGTCTCTAAAACTTAACATTAGTGTTGACTTGTTCACTAAAAAGAGGTTATCATACTAGTTTCATCAAATGCTTTAGAGATGAGCAACAAAACCGCTTATGGTTTTGTGGTAGCAAAACATTTGGTAGGCTTAATAACAGCTCAAACTCTTAACTATCAAGATATTAACCACTTTAACCTAAGGGCCTCACGGTTTTATCCTGTTGGTGTAACTTCCGAAGACGTCACCCACCCAAAGATTTCTCTAGGATGAACACGCTTAACTGCGAAGTTTCTTTAATAAAATTCAACTATTACACCAAAAAGCGCCTCGATGTTTAAGAGTTTAACATTTTTTTTTTTACTTAAGGGGTTTCATAATCTCTCTCACTTAAGTAACTAATATTCTTGTTAGTATCTTTATCACATAATCATCCCCCACGAAGATAGGATTCTAGAGGAGACCCCTACAAGTTCAAGTGGTGACTCCTTCCATGTAGCACTTTGTCCCATATAGGATTCACGAGGTGGCTCCCATAGCGTAGCACTTAGCCTTGTATGGCACTTAGTTCTCATCTTCTAGCTATTGTATGGCTGTGATACCATTTGTAATTGCTCAAAATCTTAACTATTGAGATATTGTCTGCTTTGGTTAAAGAGCCTCGCGTTTTATCTTGTTGGTGTAACTTTCTAAGAGGTACCCATCCCAGGATTTCTCCAGGATAAGCACGCTTAACTGCGGTGTTTCTTAATGAAATTTCAATCATTACACCAAAAGGTGCCTCGATGTTTAAGAGTTCAGCTTCTTTTTACTTAAGGGGTTTCAAATATCTCACACGTAAGTAACTGACGTCCTCACCAATATTTTTATCCCAGAGTCATCCACCAAACAAATAGGATTCTAGAGGTAGCCCTTAAAAGTTTAAGAGGTGGTTCCCATGGCATAGCACTTTGTCTTGCATGGCACTTAGTTCTCATTTTCTGGCAGGTGTATTGTTCTAATATTATTTGTAACAACTCAAACTCTTAACTATCAAGATATTGATCGCTTTGGCATAAGGCCCTCATGGTTTTTCATGTTAGCATAACTTCCAGGAGGTCACCCATCCCAGGATTTCTCTAAGATGAGCATGCTTAACTGTGAAGTTCATTAATGAAATTTCAACCATTACACCAAAAGGTGTCTCAATATTTTAGAGTTTAATTTTTTTACCTCACTTTAGTAACTAACATCGACGTCATTATTTTTATCTCAAAATTATCTATCATGCAAGATAGGATTCTAAAGGTGGCCCCTACAAATTCAAGTGGTGACTCCCGCCCATAGCACTTTATCCCATACAGGGAGGAGGTGGCTCCCATAGCGTAGCACTTTATCTTGTATGGCACTTAGTTCCCTTTTTCTGGTTAGTGTATTGCTCTAATACCATTTGTAACAGCTCAAACTCTTAACTATCGAGATATTTTCCACTTTGGCCTAAGGGCCTCATGATTTTGACCTATTGGTGTAACTTCCCAAGAGGTCACCTATCTGAAGATTTCTTCGGGATAAGCACGCTTAACTATAGAATTTCTTTAATGAAATTTCAATCATTACACCAAAAGACACCTCAATGTTTAAGAGTTTAGCTTCTTTTGCTTTCATAGCCAAAGAGTGGGCGGAGGACAAGTAATTGGTGTGGGTAGAGGATGAGATCGTAGAGGTTAGTGATAAGTCAATTGTAGTAGCGACACCTCAGGGGAAGAAGATATGAGTGATTTTCGACCAATTTTCCATTATTTTTGAAAATTTTTCACTTTTGAATTTTGTTGATCGTTTTGCTTGTTTCTTACTCTACCCATTACGGACTAAGAGTTCTCTGATTTGCTTTGTTTTGTTTAATTTCGTAAGTGTCAGTTTCCATAGAAAAAATATTGCCTAGGAATATTGCGTAGGGATTCGGATGCGGAGCATAGAGGCTTATAGATGACATGATGCCGCCTACCATAAGGTAAAAAACTAGGAATGCCAGGATAGGTAAGCTTCATCATATAATATAATATAAAGCAACAAATTAATAACACGATATAATTGACTTGAATTAGCTTGGGATAAGGCAATGGTGATTGTTGTTGTGCTATTGATGATGACAATTTCAATCAACTTAAAACCTAGCTAAGTGATGATCACTTTCGATTCAACTCAAATTTTGATCTACTTCAAAATCAACACCTTTGATTTAAAGTTTAGATCAGCTCGTTCAAAAAGTTTCGATTTCACCTACATTCCCTTTATTGACGCTCTTTAAGAGGACAGATTAATAAGTATAAGAAAATAAAACATCAACTTACAAACTATTCATGCATAGAAAAAAGATGAGAAGAGGCGGAAGGTAGACAGCCTACCCCACACATACAAATGAAAAATAGATCCAAAATCTTCAACGTCAGTTTTGTGTTTAACAACAGTGCGATGAAGTGTGAACGCAATTGTTGTAGTCCACAGAAATGATGCTATGCAAAAGAAATGTGCACTATAGTCCTGAGCATAGCAAAATAATCCATTTGATGGGTCCCTGCAAGGTTAATATGAACATTCAGGGTACATTAGCCCATGATCAAAATGGAAGGAACAACATGGTATTTTTACATCCAATTTTCAATTCAAAATATCAGAATAAACAAATTATACAAACTGAAAGAATAATTGAAAAAGGCAGTATGAAAGACGGCATATCACGTTCAAGCTTTCCTTAAATTACCAGAAAAAAAAGGTTCAGCACAGCTACAGAATAAAAAACTGGAAGTTAGTTTGGTGCTTTAATGATGATATTATAATCACAACCAAGTTTTTCAAAAATGATAGTGATTAGAGCTTCACTATGCTTTTTTTGCCAGTGAGCATGAATATTGCTGCTCTCACCAGAAGCACAAGAAATTTTCTTATAATCTGAGAGTAAGCCATGCATTTTTAACGTGAGTTTCTAAATTTTAAGGTAATCCCATCACAGGTCATTGCAATATATGATTACAATGAGTATGGCACACAATACAATGTGGTGAGAGAAGTTCCAGACCACATCATAAGAAAATGTTTGCACATTACATGCCAATCATCGATGATGGACAGTTCAACCCTGGCATAAACCTAAGGCTTCAAACTAAGAATAAAACGCTAGAGCGGCATTGTTAATTGCAATAAAAGAGATGAATATGTCATTTGATTTTTTTTCTGCATACAACATGAACAGGTATCTTAAATTTCCAAGAAGTTCCAAGTTATTCAAGATAATTGCTTGTTGGAAAACAAATTGTTAATGAGGAAAGAAAATGGCACCAATTGAGTTAATGTTCAAATTTGAAGAAAGTTCCATTCAACATGAACTCATTGACACATGAGTCCATTGTGTGATGAGTTTGTTTTGATAATAACAATTATATGATTGGTAGTAACAATCTTAAAAATAAAGTGACGACAAAATTGTTAGAATGCAAGAATTATGGTAGATTGATTGATTAAACATGAAAACATGATGCAATAATCAAGACCACAAGACATGTAGAATAGACAAGCAAGATTGGAGACAAGTTGTATTGAGTTTTGTAATTTTGCTTTTATACCAAGTCATTGCATGTCAATCTAACTCCATGGCTCTCACTTGAGCTTACTCAAAACTAAATTAAAAGAATTTTTTCTATAAATATTACAATATTATTTTTAATTTAGTTATTTATGTATTTGATCCTACTCGTAGCTATATACAATAATAAATTTAGCATGAAGGCTGCATATAACATAAAATCAAATGATAGGATTGGCTTAGTTAATGGGTCTACACTACCTAGCAAATTTCTGCTAACTTGTTTACGGACCACTGTTAAGGCTATGGATAACCAGCTGTGTGCATCACTCTTGGGAACCTTTGTGGGCTCTGCTAACAAGATCTGCTAAGTTTGAGGGTAGTCATCATGAACTATTTAATGGATTCACACCAACCTTTGGATCCTTTGATAGCGATTTGGATATGTTTTGAAGGGCAGCTGCTATTAGGTCAAAATATACACCTGTTTAAGATCATTAAAATGGCTCTTACTATAATACCCGTATTCCACTTAGCAGTTAAGTAAAAAGGACATTTTTATATTCCTAAACTGAATCCACTAACCCACACATGCAGAGACTGGATGAGATCTCACGGATGGTAATTGATTTGGGCATTCTGTAGTGGGAAAAGCATTAGGGAAAGTAAAATATAATATAAAATACGTAAAGCACTATGCAACATTATCCTTTCCCCTCCCATTTTCAAGACAATTGGCTTCTGGCATTCGAATGCTGGCCGTGAGAAGGACCAGGGAGATTCGTGACGGCTTGCTGGGGCTGCTCCTGTTGTCTGCTGTGGAGGCTCCTAATCCTACCTCTAGTTCAAGTAGGTAAGAAAATTTCAGCATGAACTTCAGCATTCAGCCTATGGTGATTTTGAAAAGAATATTGTAGGTTGTTGTCTGCTGTTGAAGCTCTTAATCCTACACAGCAACCTAATCCTAGCACTAGAACTAATATATTGAGTTAAGTGATTTTTGAAATGAAAATTGGCTGAAATTTATTGTTGCTAAAAGGATGGAATGGAATATTGTTTGCTAAAATTTGTACTTTCTGAAATCTATAATGGAATAATCTGTAGGCTGCTGAAAGTTTTGTTAGCTGAAATCGGTGTTTGAGGAGCTGAAATTTATGTTTGTGTGCTGATCAAGTTGCTGTAAATTGTTGAAATCAACTGTAATTGCTGAAATCAGAGAGGAAAAGGAAGAGAAAAAGCTAAGAACAAATAAGTAAGAAGACCAATGGTAGTTGCTGAATTTTGCTAAAATGCAGCTACAGTTGCGGAAAACAGTTAGGAGACAAATTCAGTGGGTTGTTGCTGAATTCAGATCAGGCAAGGAGGAAGAGAGCTAAGAGAAAGAGTGTGTTGAATGAGAGGTTTGATAGAAGTGTACAAAAGAAAAAGAAGGCAGGATCTAGGAGAATCAATTCTTAGCAAGGTGAGATACACAAACTGATATAGGATATAATACACTTTGCAACATCACATCATATATAAATTGATGGCCTCAATTCCAGTTTCATTATGTATTTATTTGTTAGTTCCTCAAGTATTATTGAAATGGCATATTTTATTAATGTTATGACATGTGAAATGTATTATGAAAAAAATGAAATGTGAAATGTATTAGAAAGGTGAGATAAGTCATATATGAGAGATAGACCCACATAAGTAAAGGTGCAAGACTTGATGAGGTAAGTCTATACTCTCTCAATTCTAAAAGTAGGGAATTCAGATATAACCTTAAATGAGAGAGCAGACTCAAATCTAAAAGTTGAGAATATAGACCCAACCTTGATTTAGAGAGTTGTGAGTGTGCAAAAGACTATAATCATCATATGACTTACCTAAAGTTTTGATCAATAAACAGAACATGAAATTATGCTTTTGTACATTTAATGTTTATTATAGAATTTGCATGCTGTTCCTAATCTAGGAACATATTATTATTTCTTATATATTATTTGCATATTTCATTGAACTTTAGTTCATTAGCAATGAATGTACAACAAAAAAGATGACGGAGCCAGTGGGGCATTAGACAGGACGATTGATTGTATTTTTGTGTACACACGTTTTGGTGTACATAGAAGTCAAAGTAGAAGTCGTAAAGAAACTTTTCAGTATGTAAATGTCATTTAAAAGTTTAGTAAAACGTTGTATTTTACTCAGAGGTATTTACTAGATGAGTTTAAATATACTTCCAATTATAAAATATTGATTATAGTTTTATGTTTTGTGAACCCTAAAGTTTTTCAAGAGTTTGGATGGATCATTTCCAACTTAATTGGTCCTGATAGAAGTATATGTCAGGTTGGGTGTTAGTAAGAGATAGGTCTATTCAGATTCTCTATTACACTCTATATTGACTAAGGGGGGTCAAAATGAGGTGTGACATTTACTCTCCTCATTCAAACAAAGTCATCTCAAGTTTTTCAAAGTAAGATCAAGTGCAAATGAAGAGCAAAGGACAAAGTATTTGATTCATAGCAAGAGCTTTTGTTTACGTATTCTTTCTCCAATGACTAAAGCACTATAAGAAATTTTCTTTTGTTTTATTTTTATACTTGTAATTTTCATTTTTCTTTCAATGTCCAAGTGTTGGATAGCTTAGTGCAATAGTGCGTTATTTTGTAATGTATATTAGTTACCTTTTTCGATTAAGAATAGTGGGATTGTTTTAGCTTGTAACAATTTCGCCAATGGCTTTGAGATGCAAAAAAGTTGTTTTGCTGGCAGTAGCTAATGAAAATGGAATCCTAATCTATGTCAAGATTATGAGTGGGAATCTGGCCATGTTAAGGTCAAACCTCATAATATCATCAATAGAATTTGCTTTCTTATGATTATAGGCCTCCCACTGAAAGTGTGGATGGAGTTAAAGGTGATAAACCATTTGAAGAATGGGCTCAAAAAGTGATAAACCTTGACAAACTTAACTCTAGTACAATGTGCGATCTCAATTATACTCTCAATCCAAAGGACCATATGAGAGTTTCCGCTCTAGAAACCACAAAAGCAATATTAAATAAATTGATTTTATATATTAAGGTACTAATGAAATTCATGGTTAACATTCATTATCTGATTATGAACTTTTTCACATAAAACCGGGAGAATCTATATTCTATTATAAATATGCATATACACTTTATAAATTATGAGTACTTTACATTCTTTTGGCAGATATATATAAGTGTTGATCTTGTACATAAAATTTTTGGATGCTCATTAAAGAAATGGGATCCAAAGGATGCAGTTATTATGGAATCCAAGGATTTATATGCATTCTGATGCAAGACAACTCATGATCAAGATTTCCTAATGCATAGTATGAATATATACAAAGAATTTTGAAGATTTACAAATCATAAGCCACTAATTAATTAAACACTTATCTTCTTTAAATGTAAAAAACCAATATTATAATTAAAAAATGTAATTGATAATGAAATGATCAAAATGTTCCATGAATTCCAACATGAATTAGAAACACCAAATCAATGAAGAAATTGAATTTAATTTTGATAAATTGGATTTTTGACATGTCAACTTTTATCAAAATCAAGAGTATTAAAATTTTTAAAAATAAACCAATTTTTATAACAAAGCTTCTTATTTTTAATTTTTTCTTGCACATTAGGATTCCACCACCAACTATTTTTACTATTGGGAGCTTTGTTATAAAAAGAAATAAAAGGAATAAAAACATCAAAGTAAGAAAAATCATGTTAGGTGATAGTACAAGGAGATGGCTTCCTCCAAAATTAGGTAGTCACGCCATACCGCACTTGAAGGAATTACACATCCAATTTGAACTCAAAAGATTGAGACTAGAAAAAAAATTTATATGGCCAAAAAATTCATAATTGCATTTCTCGGAACAATTATTTACAAGCCCCTCATCAGAGTCAACGCTTATAAATAAAAGTGTCCAACATGTCATTTTTTAGTAAAATTTGAGTTCATATTGTTCAAGAAGGCATTGAGGAACTCTTTCCGCACTGATTAGAGAGTTGCTAAATTTTATATAAGTCCATTTTTCGCCCATTATTTGATCTAATGCATTTCATTGCTTTAATGTTTTCTTATTTCTAATCATTTTCACTTGTCATTTTTATCCAAGAGCAATTTGATTAACCTTTTAGCTAAACTTTGGTAACATTTGCGCATTTCATTGCTTTTGTTCGTATTTCTAATTTTTTTTTCACTTGCCATTTTTGATCCCAGAGCAATTTGATTAACCTTTTAGGTAGATTTTGGCAATGTTTGCCCCCTGCCGATTTTGGCAACATTTTCCCCCTGCCCTGGGCACACACACCACAAGAATAAAAGCACCAAAAAAACATACATGGGTATCGTATTGGGCATAATAACTAAAATTAAATATCTCAATGCATTGATAAAGATGAACATGGGTGGTGCAAGGGACACCTAAGTAGTCTTTATGTCCACCAAAACAAAACAAAAAATGTGTATAAACATTCTAAAAAGTTGTTCATGCAAAAAATAACAACATCAAGTCTTTGTCCCACTATGTGGGGTCGGCTACATGAATCCTTTTTCGCCATTGTGTCCGGTTAAAAGTCAAATTCTCATTTAAATCTAATAAAGAAATATAATTTCTAATATTTTCTAACCAAGTCTTTTTAGGTCTACCTCTACCTTTCTAGCATAAGTCGAATCTAATAACTCAACTTTCCAAACCGGGTCATCGGAAGGACTCTGTTTAATGTGACCAAACCATCTAAGGTGACTCTCTCTAATCTTATCTTCCACTCGAGCTATTCCAACCTTTTCACGTATATGCTCATTTCATATCCTATCTCTAAGGGTCAAGCCACTCATCCACCTAAGCATCCTCATCTCTGCAACACTTAACTTAGTATTATGCTTCTCTTTTAATGGCCAACATTCGGCATCATAAAGCATTGCAAGTCTCACCACCATCTTATAGAATTTTCCCTTAAGTTTGAGGGGACTTTTCTATCGCACAATAAGCCTGATGCATTCCTCCACTTCAACCATCCAACTTGAATTCTGCTGATAATATCCCCATTTATTTCATCATCACTCTAAACAATAGAACAAAGATATCTAAAATATGTACTCTTATTAATGACTTGATCGCCCAAAGTTACAATCCCCTCATTAGGTCTACGCAAAAAATAACACAAAAGAAAAATAAACTCTTTATGTTGATAAAGATGCATATAGCGAATATGCAAAGGCAGATAGGGTTGTTGCTCTTTATACCTTAAGTGAGATCAATGGTGTGCTCGTCGAGCAAGGATAGGAGAATTCAGAGAACCAACGAGGAGGAGCTTAAAAGATGTGTGTATTTTATCATCCTAGATAGTATTAGAAAAAGTATATATTGTTCCTTTCCTTACAAATGCTTCAAGTTCTTGAGACCAAGAGGATCTCTAAAATGTCTTTAGCATTGTCTTTAATAAAAAAAAGTATCTCCATGAAGAGTATATAAAGCTTAAGGAAACCGATGTACATGAAACCACAAAAAGAGATATTAGATTATCCAAATGATGCATGAACATCTACAATTGAAGAATAGGTGAGAACCATTGTATGTGAGAGAATTGCAAATGATATAATATGTAGAGATCCTAAAATCCAAATGAGAGAGAAAATATTCGTTAGATCTTTCCCAGATAACACTCCACCAAAAAAAAAAAAACAATCTTCACCAAGGTCTTCTAATTCCAATATAATGAGTGATAATACCATCGTGCATTAAAAAAGAAGAAAAGAAACTAATTGAGAAAATGCCTCAGGCAGATGCAACCTCTTTGAAAAGCCGATATTTAAATTCAACCTACTGCGACTCAGTTCATTCTGGAGATTTGAAATATCATTAACTAGATGAAAAGGAATGATCCCTTTCTACCGAAGTAAAGAAGGGCAGAGAAGAGACTTCAACAAATTATTAAAATTCCAAGTCATCTAAAATATTAGGTTGAAGTTTTCCTAAAAGCAAAGTATGGATAAAAAAAAACTTTTAAAATTAAATATTTGCATGACTAGTTCTATTCCAAAAGATGAGATGAGATGAAAGACAAATGCTTTCATAATATCTTTAATGAACCAAGACATGAGTGTCAGCAAATGCTAATAGAAGAAAGGGGAATGTTTGAGATTAATAAAAATCATATAAGCGAATTCCTTAGAATATATTGTTAGGTGACTAGGAAAGCAAAACAAAAAAAAAGCCTAACTTTAACAAGAATTAAAGCTTCCCAAAGAGATTCTATAAAATGTTGTGCTTATCCATACAAGTAATTTTTCCAAATTTGGATGAAATGAACAAAAGAGAACAGCAATTCCAAAAACAAAATGGAAATCATAAATGACAGCCCAAACTCACCAAGTTTCCTAGAACAATAATTCCACTTCTCACAACTCATTTCTTTAATACTATGTCGTAGAATCTGATACAGCCTGTTTTAACAAAACATTCAGCAATATTTGTACATTTTAATTTGAAAAATAAAAACTAATGTGATGAAGTGATAGAAATAATATAATCCTTTTCTAATGCCATATAGTAGATCTTTGAGCAACTACTTCTTTCTCAACAGCTCATTAGGTAAACAATCTTCACTTATCTACTTTAAATATTTGGGCACCTTGATCATTTTGTTTTTGGCATAGCCAAATCAAATCAACCCTTCACCAATTTCACCAAAGAAAAAAGTATAAAATAGATGGCGTGCTAATTTCTCTCGATTATTCAATAAAGATAGATCGAGCAAATCCTTTGCCAAGTTTACCAGGCAAATAGCACATGATAGAAGGAATTCTACATCCAATTGTCAAAAAATCGTTATTGAATTGAATTTGTCAACAGGTCCATCATGCACAAAACGTTGGACCAATGATAAAATCTAAAGGCTCAAGAAGTTTTCACAACATAGCAAAAGAATTATAAATTTGACGCCTAAGTCTAGAGTCAAACACATCGAGTTCTATAAATTAAAGAAGTAACACCAACATAAGATTAATCTACAGTGGTGGTGTCTAATGACAAAGAGCAGCTCACTGTTTGCATCAGCATATGAAAACACTCTTGAATATCTACAAAACAAGACCTTCAATGTGACATTTTTACGCAAGAATCCCCTCTAGTTATGATATATTAATAGCCAAATTCATTATCAAGGATCTGACTTGAAACATTCATTTTTATGCTCTCCACGAATCTCCAATTGCAGCCCTAGGATTCCTAACATGGCCTCCCCTTGGCTGTGTGATTCAACAATCTCTATCATGTTAATTTGGTTCATAGAGCAAATTGTCCAACTATTAGATAGTTTTTGGGTGAAACTTGATGGCACTTTTGCATCACCCCTGCTGACAAGGTAGTCGAAAGAGCATTTCCACAATACAACTTTATTATTATTATTTTTATTATTATTATTATTATTATTATTATTATTATTATTATTATTATTGTACTTGTTACTATCATTATTATACATTTGCATTCACATTCAAGAATATTTGTGTAAACTCTCTTATGAATTCTTTTCCTTGCACATGATAAATTTTTGTGCTTTTTGTGCCCAAACTTCAGCATAATGGGGTGGGGACCTTTTATGGAGCATTTCAATGTTCTTGACTCACTACAATGGCTCATTTCTGAAATGGGTGACAAATGAGTACTCATCCCATGCAAACGAGACATATCGAGTCAATTTCTCATAAAACTATGTTCGTCTTCCATCATTGTCATTGTGTTTAATCCTATTAATTTAGGAATCACATACGGAGTACAATACTTGTGAGAAAGGGAAAGAGGCGACGGCACAACTCATGGTCAAAGTAGAAAAAATATTCAAAAGCATTATTTATATAAGTTAATAGCTTGAATGTAATCATAGCCTGCTCTTGTTTCCCTAGGTAGCAGCTCTCTAATCTATGAGTAAAAAGAAATAATAGCCAAGTCAACCAGAAAAGAATTAAGGTACATTGTTTAGTCAAACATCCATCAGTGAACCCATGGAGTCATGAAGCAAACCTGTCTAACCTATCAAAAAAGGAAGTCAATCACAAGATAGATGACATTAGACTAGTTAGAAGTTATAAATTTTATTGCTTCACCTGATATTTTGGTAAAGAACTTGAAGACCAATAATTTGCATCTCGTGTGTTTAGAAAATGACATGCTTAGAAATCCTGAAGTTCAGCGATGAGACATATAAAATCAGGTGAGTGAATTAATAATCTAATGTTTCACATTTTCCTGATTTCATGACTTACTAGTGGTAGTAAGTCCCGCAATTAGACACAATCACATTTGCAAGAACATAGTCGCATGAAATATAACCACCTGCTCTTCAGGCAATAAACTAGAACAACGTAAATGTTGATTTACATTTTCCTAATTCTAAGCATAAGCAAAGAGTAATTTCTCAATTAAACTAGTAATTTCTCAATTAGACTAATAATTTCTCAAACAAGACGAGCAGAAAAGTAATTTTTTAATTTCAACAATGCAATCAAAGTCATACCCAACTATGCTGAAAAAGCTGCAGAACATATCCTGCAACAGCAATAGAAAATATTAGAATCACGTCAAGAAAAATACAAGTCAAGCATGCTTAGAGCCTCATATACATAAAAACTATAAAATTAACCAAGAAAAACAAAGCTCAAGAAGAAAATATAAAAATAAATTAAATTATGAACTATATGAAATAAGCATGAAGTTGATAACTTTTTTCATGCATGCATAACATGTTTTTACATAAAGCTAACACAAATTTTTAGTTAAAATTCTTATGCTGGAAAAGCACTCTGAAGTGTGCAGCTAAATCCATGGTATAACATTTTCCTATTATTTTTATTTTCATTCCACAACATAGAGTTGTAAGTGAATTAATGCACTTGATGAGCAGCTCTAAACTTGATGAGCAGCTCCATATAAGGCTCATTATGTTTATTTACTTTCATAATTAAACAACATTAAATAAAATTTTGAATACTCGATAAATAAATTAACAAGATTAATGTTGACCTCAGTAACAATTTAGAAGTCGACCCAATCGAATACAGCAAAACCAACGAGTGATAGATACCACGACGTACAAATGTTGTCGAAAACGCATCGACTAAAAAGTTAAAGTCACCTAAACAATGCTTGTTCATGAAACAAATTGTGCCTATGAGTTCAAGGGATCAAGAATAGCTAAGATCAACACTTATACTTATTGGGTCATCACAAGAGGGGAAATTCAAAAACTCACTTGCATATGAGGTGACGACACAATTTTGATATGCACCAGCAACAGGTTTTGGTAAAAAAAAAATCAATATATACTTTATCATTATTATTATTATAAAATCAAAAAAAAAAAAATCCTTGCTTCCAAACACCCACCCCGCACCTCTCCACCCACGCCAAGCCCATGCCACACATCACTCACCTAACCCACTCCCCTACCAGCACCATTCTTCTTTTCGAAGCACTCAGATCAATCACAGCACCCACTCCTCTATCTCACGCCCCTCACACCCTTCCTCTCTCTTTCTCACCTTGATGGGTAAGAGAAAAAAAAAATTACAAAAGCGTGTACTGATAGATGAGCTTCATTTAGTGTAGAAATATTTGAAAATGAAATTTTAGGGATTTATATGGAAAAGAAGATATTTATAAAGTTGTTCTAAAGAGGAAAATATTTTGTGAGTCTATTATTTACTAGAAAACCTTCTTATTTATAACAGAGAGATTAGTACAACAAGTCCAAGTACAGCAAAACAAACCTATAGCGAGTATTATATACAAAGAACCTTCCAAATAAGAAAAGCTCCTACATTAGCATATCCGCTCAAGCTAGTGCATTTAGTTCCAGTTTATAACATAATCAAGATAAGGGAAGGCAACCCAAAGTTTTTGTTTTTATAAAGATATCAGGGACTAGCTCTAAACTGAAGACATCTTCATAAACAATATAATGTCTCAAAAGAAATGGCAGACAACTTCGATATGTTGTGTTCCTTCATGAAACACATGGTTGCTAGCAATTTAAACGGCATCATGATTCTTATAGTTCAGGACTAAGAGTTGTGTAATAGGAAAGCCAAACTCTTCTAAAAGAATATTTACCAATATAATTTTGCATACATAATAGGCGATAGTCACAATAGTTTATTTTTCACTTTTTAAGGTACAAGTTTAACTCCAACAAAAATATAATACCCAAAAATTGAATTCCCATCATTAATGGATCTATATATGAGGCACCTAAGAATGCTTCCACATTTAAATGATCATTTTAGTATATAATAAACATTTTTCAGCATATTATTTGACATTCATAAGAATGCACAAAGCAGTCTCCCAATGCTTCAATTTTGGAGTTAGCATGTGATTGCTCACTACTCCAATAGTGCATGAAGTAACACGTTGGCCAACAGATAAATCAATTGTTTTACTAATCTTTCATATCAAAAGAGATTATCAAAAGATTCCTTGCTATTAGAAGTGATTTAAGTATTCATAGGGGTATCAACAAGTTTGCAACCAAGAAGATTAATTCCTTCAAGAAGATCAGTAGTATGTTTTCTATAAAAATGTCAGACTCCCGTTTGTTATAGGCAATTTCTATCTCAATAGATTATTAGAGTGATCTTAAATCTTTAATAATAAAACACATTTACAAGTAATGTTTTACCTCGTATATGCATTCTTTACACTCAATAAGTATGACATCTCAACATAAATGACCATTATAACGAATCCTCAAAACATATTACTAATGAAGATGGAATGATCGGTTATACAACTATGAAGACCAACTTCAATGAGAACTTAGATAAAATTTTCAAATCAAGCACATTGGCTTTGTTTCATCCTATAAATGACTTTCTTGAGTAGACATGTGATTTTTCCCTAAACAATATATAACTTGATAAATACTCCATATAAATTTCTTCGCTTAGGTCACCATAGAAGAAGGCATTTCTTACATCCATTTGCTGAAGAAGTCATCCTTGATTGATGGCCGCATAGATGAATATTAGCGAAGTTAAAATGGGCAATCGGGAGAACCTGTTAAAATAGTTCATCAAATAGACTTGAGTGAACCCATTGGCAACTACTAAAGCTTTATACCAATTGATCAAACCGTCATAATGAAATTTTACAATAAACACCAAACATAAAGCAATTTGTTTAACCTCAAAAGCAGAATCACCAATTTCATGTATAACAACTAAGCAGCACACATCCCACTATTCTGATACGACAGCAGCCTGCAAGGGGCAGGATAAGGAAGGGCTGGACCGACGGTTCAGCGGGATTCGGAATAGGGAGGGGCGGACCATGCGGAATCCGGGGAGGGGGAAGGGAGTTTGCCCCACCCCCCCCCCCCCCCCCCAATTCCTCTTATGGGCCCAGTAAAAAATTATTTCATTATGTTAGTAAAGAAATTAAGGAGAGGATCAATTAGAAAAATATTTCCTAATTGAATTCAAATTGAAGAGGAAAAGATTTCTTAATTAAATTCAAATTGAAGAGGGAAATTAATATGAAAAGAAATATGTTTTTGGAGAAATTTGAGAGCTTAATTAAGGTTGGTTCTTGGGTTTATTTTATTTTCATGCATGTTTAGATGTGAGCATTGTTGTAGTTATTTTTCTTTGAGGGCTTCCTAGCGGCTTCTAGGTTATTGGGGAGAGCCGCTCTACCTCTCTAATTGTAGATCTCTTGTATCTTATTTTCTTATTGAATTATTAATCAAAATCAGCCATGATCCCTCAAATTCCAGCAGTTTTCTACTGTTTTCTTGCTAGTTTAACTTCCACGGCGTATCAAATTGGTATCAGAGCTATCCTGGGTGGTCATTTCAGCCCTCCTTGCTGATATTTGTTGCATGTTTTCTCCTCATCTTGCTGATTCATGCTATTTGAAGACCGAAATTGTCATTTTTTGCTATTTGTTGTGGTTTGGAACCTAGATTTGTGAATGGCGCAAAGAAGATGGAGGTATTGGAAGTGGAGATGGAACAATTCAGGGGCTGTGATGGAGGAGGAATATTCTGGAATAGAAGGGAAGTTCACAACGATGGAAGGGAAGTTCAAGATGGTAGAATGAAGGTTGTCATCCATTGAAAACCGATTCGAGAACATGGAAGACATGATGAAAAAATTAATCAAGATGCAATCAAAGGCTTCATCGGTTATTTCTAGGGCTGATCTGAAGGGAAAGAGACTTCAGGAAGACGGTGATGAAGTGGAGATAGTTTTCCCCCAAGAACCTTCCCAAAGGGCTCCAATGGGAGGTGCATCAAGGTATCCCAAAGAAGGGGCAGCAAGAAGAGGGGAGGTCGAAGCTTTTTGAAGACCAACTAGGCAGGAGGGAATGTGGATCGAAGGAAGTAATGGTTAGGCCGAACCATGGGGTCCAAATCAGCTAAGGGGGAAAAGGGATAATCGCACCACAACTACATGGGAGGAACTAATGGAGGGAGAAACCATTATGGTATGGATGCGAGATCGAGGAAGCTAAAGATGTCGATCATTAAAGAGGAAGATGCTAAGGGTTGGGTGTACCAAGTGGAGTGTTACTTTGTTATTAATGGGCTAACGGAAGGGGAAAAACTCATGGCGGCGGACCTATGTTTGGCCTAGCTTGATTTCAGTGAGGGGGGCCAGGTATCCGATCTATTCCTGGGAGGAATTCAAGGATTGTTTATTGGAACATTTTTGAGCCATTTGGGAAGGAAACCTCTATAGGCAGTTCTATGTCTTAAAACAAGAAGGGACCGTTATGGAGTATCGAGAAAATTTTGAGCTACTGTCAGGAAGACTAAGAGAAATTTCTGAGGAAGGGTTGGCAGGAAATTCCATGAAGAATCTTAAGGAAAACAAATGAGCAGAGCTCAGAGTTTTGAGGCCTAGCAGACTGAGAGAGATGATGGAGCTAGCGCAAAGGATAGAAGAGAAACATCAAAGAAGAAGGCTAGCCGGAGCAACAACATGGGAGGAGCTTACAGGAGTACCTCCACGACCCTGAAACCAAGGACCTAGACGGTGTTATTTTAGAGAGAAGCACCGAAGGAGAAGAGCACTGGAGTTCATCCTAGAGGAGATTTCAAGTGCCTCACAGAAGTAGAGATGCAGGATAGGTGAGCAAAAGAGTTATGCTTCAGGTGTGATGAGAGATTTACACCCGGACATAGGTGAAAGAATCGAGCCCTTTAGATTTTGATGGCCTGTGAAGGGGAATAGGAGAGAGGGGATGAACTGGAGGATGTCGTGGAGGAAACGGAGCACAAACACCTTTATATGGCGAAAGTGTTCCTAAATTCTATAGTGAAATCACACCATGAAGTTGATGGGGCAGATAGGTGAGCAGCCCGTGGTGGTGTTGGTGGACAGTAGAGCCACACATAACTAAATCTTGAATCGGGTCGTGGACCGATTGAGGTTGAAGTCGGTAAATAGAGAGGGGGGGGATGAACCAAAATAAATCCTCATAATGAGCTTAAAAGAAAGTAAATTACCCATAGTAATGAGCTGAAAAATAGCAGTTCAAGCATTAATGAGCAGATTTTAGTAGATATCATAGAAGCTCACCAAAATTATAACCCAAAATATTTTGACCCCCCGTTTGCCTACATCAAAGTTACAAGCATGTTCTTTTGGGAAGTACTCAAAAGGCATCAAATCTAAAGCCTATAATATCTAATAGCGTGAAGGAAATTGCTAGACAATTTAGAGAATACGTCAATTTAGCAATCTATATATCCACATATTGCAATTAGGCTTGGCACCATATGGATTTGAATATTGGGAATTAAAAGAATTCATTAGCAAAAAAATTGAGTGTAGAAAAAATGAGTATGTAAAGATAAATGTGTGGTGAAATTATAAATGATAAACTAAGGAATTATTATAGTAAATATATGGTGTTTTGGACATTCAAAATGAAGGGTGGAAAATTCTTCAAATAAAATTTGTGTCAAATTTAAAAAAATAGATCTATAACAAAACTAACATGGGCAGAAGTTATGAGAAAAAAAATAGAATTGGATAGGTTTAACAACGAACAAAATCTTTAATATAAATATCTTTCTCTAACTAGATATATATTGAATATGCTTAAATAACTCTTGTAATTATTTTATTTCTAAAAGAATTAAATAAAGGATAAAATCTATTATCCTTGCTCTAAGAAAATTATAATTTAATCTCTCTCTTAAGTTAATACTCTCATTTTTTCTATAGATGGTTAAATTAATAATAACTTAATTAATGGATAAAAATCTCATTTGTATTTAGATTTGATCCCTCACCATTAAAAATGGTCCAATTTAATCCCCGTTTGCCTTGCACAATTCATTCTACAAGGATTATAGCGGGAAGAAGTGAAGTTTTTTGTCTTTTCTTGTTAATTCAAACGGCAAAAATAACCAAGGGATCAAATTGGACCATTTTTAATGGTGAGGGATCAAATGGGGGAAATACAAGACTCTGGGACTAATTTGAGGATTTATCAATAGTCGGGGAACTATTTCAAGCTTTTCCTCATTTAATAACTAATGAAGCACTTAACAGAAATAACTAGGGAATGTGGATTCATAAAGCCAACTCCAAAATATAAACAAACTAAATATATGCATCTGCATCAAACGCTAGGTAATCTTCTTAAATGCATATCCCAAGAAAAGCCAAAGTAATGAATTTGAATTTAGCTCAGGTTGAGTTTTCTTAAAGAAGATGTGGCTGCAAGTATAAACCAGCTCAAACTTTTGAAGTGGGTGATGATGTGATGGTCTTTCTAATACAAGAGAGGTCTGCTAAAAAATCTAATCATAAGTTGTTTAATTGAGAAAGGATAATTTAAAAAACAAAACAAAAAAAAGCTTGCTAACAATGTACATGTTATTGAATTTCCAAATGATATTAACATATATAACATATCAATGCCAAAGATCTTTCTTAATTTCATGTGTCCTAGAAACATTGACAAACATGGAGGGGACTAATGTGGGAAAAAAAGCCAACATTCTGGGTGAAGGAAGTATATACGTGAAAACCTATTGTGTGATAGAAAAGTACCCCTCAAACTCAAGGGAAATTCTATAAGATGGTGATGAGACCAACAATGTTTTATGGTGCGGAATGTTGGCCATAGAGAAGCATAAAATTAAGTTAAGTGTTGCAGAGATGAGGATACTCTAGTAATTCTTTTAGATGAAGCCTAAGGATCTGGCTAGGTTCTTGGTAGAGCAAGAAAGCTTCAAAAACCCAAGCTCAAGTGTTCTTTAGTACATGCAATAGTAACATTCAACTATTATACTCAATAACGGAAACGGAAAAACAAATAAAATAACCAGACATGCCCATCTAAAAATTCAAATATTCCATTAACATCTAAAACTACTTACGCTACACAACATCCGGATCACATTACAACCAGTTTATACTCCATTAAATATGAATTAAAAAATGTTCAAATTGATATTCATTTTCACGAAAAAAAAGCCAAAGCCATTCAATTTCAAAAGCATTAGGCTAACCAGTTAATTCTTACAGAAGAAACTTTGCTCGCAAAGATCTGAAAAATTAATTTTCATCAAGGAGCAAAGTTTTGTACAAACTTACTAGAGAAAAATGCACATCCTACGAAATATGAATCATTCAATAAAAAAGCTGGGTTGTAAAATTCTGAAATTATTTTCAGATTTCTTAATTTTGGGAAGAAAATCTGAGAATTTCCAAATTCTTCCTTCTCCCTAGCAAAGCCACCTCCCCGTTCTACATCACAAGTACTAAGCCACTACCCCAACAAAAAGGGCAAACTTGGCTCACTCCATCAAATGGTCTAAACAACTGTTAGCAAATTCACAGCAAGGCTACAATCATACTGCACACATTTCCCGAAACAAAGAAATGGCCATCTATTTCTTACCAATCAAACTACACGTTCGCATAGTTAAATCCATTTTAATTCCCTCCATATCATCTCAACAATTCAAATTTAACAAATAAATCTCCTTGAAAATCTTGCCTTCTCCTCCAACTTTTCCATTCACTGGGTTCATTGGCAATGAAAATCCTCGCTACACATTTGAATCTGGAGATCCATGTCAACAGATCTACCAAGGAACAACAACAGTAAGTTTTATTCTCCTTCATTCCAGGAGCAACTAGCATCAGTTAATCTCACTACACCAAATCATAACCAAAGCATAATAAAATGTGCCAAATCCCACATGTGCTAAATACAAATGCGAAAAAATGATTTGTGACGTCTTCATAATTATCTGTCATTTTGCCAGTAACAAGACTTTCAAGCTAGAACGATGTAATATCAGAAGCCACCAGCAATTTAAGTAAGCGAAAGAAAAACGAAAACAACAAAACCCTAATTCCACCTGCTACCATAGTTACATCATAGACTAAAAAGCGCAAGAAGAAAAAGAAATAAAAGGACAGAACCCTATTCCAACTACTTCCATCGTAGACAAAAGAACACACGATAGTAATTTGAGAGCATACAGAGAGGGCGAGGAAGAAGACAAGCTTGAAGGAGAATTTGCGGAGTTCCTTGAAGAGGATGTAGCATAGCGCAATGAAGGCGGATCCCGCGAGAGACAGGGCTGCCGCGGTCGTGCTGAACGCCGCCAGAATCCGGCGTTCTTTCTCAGACAAACCTTCAGATATTGCCCACGTAGACGCCATCGCTTGGAATTGCAGGATTTCCTTCTTCTCCCTCGATCGAACTCTGGTATTGTGCAGTTAGGTTCACCTTCCCAGATTCGGTGATTCTTCTAAGACGGAATAGCATGGTAACAAGTGAAACAAAACACTGCCTTTACTAATAGCCTGTTTTATTGAGAATTTAGGTCTGTTTGGATGGTTTTATTATTGATTCTTAAAAGAGTCTGGGTTACAAAATTTTAATTTCTTATTAAAAACCGGCTTTAAAAAATAATAATAAAGTCATTCCAAATGAAATTTTAATTATATAGTTTGGGTTACACCAACACAACTTTTGCTAACTTAGGGCTTGTTCGGTATTGGACTTGTCACAAGATTTTTGTCGGATTTAGGTAAATTCGTCAAACAGCTTTCAAGCTCGTACTAAATCCCAATCTCTCATAAATCATAGATTTATAGATTTACGGCGTAAATTCGGGATTTATTAAATATAGTCATTCGGCGGATTTATCGATTTAGGGACTACGGGATTTACGAGGTTGTAAAGCGTGCTAGCCCCCGTCTTGCAAGAAAGAAGATGCAAAGATGGTTACCTACGCAGCAAACAAGATCCATTTGTGGATTCTGATTCGACTCCTTCAGAGAGACGAAGTAGCGAGTGAGTTCCAGTCGTGCAAAGTGCGCACAACACGCGAAGCCAAAGAAGACACGAAGAAATGGAGACTAGGAAAGCCGACGAAGCGAAAAGCAAACCCTAAACGGCCTACTTATTAATATAATTTAAATATTAATAATTAATTATATTAATTATATAATTAAGTACTTTAATTTATTTTAAAAAAATGATTAGTAGCATAATTTTCATTAAATTAGTTTAATTAATATTTGTAATTAGTTTGTTATTATAGTTATTAGTAGTATCCCCCTTTTCAGGGGTTTTCCACGTAAAAACTTTGGTGTCTCTTATGAACGCTACACCCTCTCACTTATCTGATTGTGTGCTGGATCTTCGTACAACGCTAAGACGTTAAACTATATATTTCTCTACCGCCGCGAATATTCCAGGACGCAACACTTCTAATTATATTATTTATCATTATAAATTATTAAAGGTAATAAAAATTAAAGTTAATAAGTAACTTATAGTTAACGCACAAATTAAATTCAAAGCACATTAAATATCTAAGTGCACATTAAATTAATAACTAACTTATTGATGTAATTCAGCATTATCTCTTCACATTTAAATCTCTAACTCATAAATCATGAAATATGTTACTAAACAGTTCCTCATAATTTAATAAGATTTACTAAAACTAGATTTATAAGATTTACTAAATCCGACTAAAGGTGAATCCAATCTGATACCAAACAAAAAAAATATTTTTAAAAACTATATTTTCACTTGGCATTTTGGTTGAGTTTTGACGTAGTCAAGGGTTTATGGAGCGTTGAATAAGTCTACCATATTATGTCTAACACGTGCAAAATGATGGATAACACCGAAAAAAAATCATATCCAACATGTAGATAATTACTATTTGAAAAAATTATAGCTTTTCTCTCTCCACGGTTGTTGATTATGTACGAGTTGCGGAGAGTAGAGACTACTAAAATCATTCCCTACAAGTAGAAAACTAAGCTTTAGATGCAAGTCAACCTCTATCAAATCATTTTTTAGCACAAACTAACTTATGGTCGGATGTTGTGGCATCACATTATAGGGATCACACTTGCATGTAGATAAATATGCTTATACCCTCGGCTATTGGCACTTTGATTTGCATTAAAAAGGCTCATATGATGATAAACATGATAAATGAATGGGACTATTTTGGATTGCAACTTTTCTCTTTTAGCTCAAAATTTTCAAACTAAGCAATCAATCGGCGTCAATATTTGATTTGGTTGACCATAATTTAATCACGTTGACTTGATAATCCTTCAAGTTAAATGCTATAGTAAATTAACACATAGCACTCTGAAAGACCTCCGTTAATTAAGGGCATCCATGGTTTTTCTCTTTTAGTGCAACAGCATGAGTTGAGCCTAGTGTTATCTGGATAATTCATATTTTGGAGATTTTTTAGAGATTAACAAATGTCCCTAATAAATGTGGTTTACAATTATTATATGGCATATCCATTATACTATATTTAATCTTAACACCATTTTTATGTGTTAATTTCTTCTATTTTTCATCCTTACTTAAAATGTGGATTTTAAGCTACGTTACAAGTAAATAATAAGTTCAAACCTCTCTATATATCTTATAAGTTATCCTCATTTGAAAACTTTTTCCTCCAACATTTTTAAAGCGTGGCGTTATTAGGAAATGTACCATTCATTTTTAGGTAGGAAATTGATCTAAGTCTCTGTATTGGCTTCATTCCTTCCACTTAAAAATATTACCAAATAAATATTGCCTTTGTTATCTATAATATAACATTAATCACATTACAAGGAGAAGTGTATGGGATTCAGATTGAGGTCATTTTCTTTCAATTATATCTTTCACCTCATCACAAGCCTCTTTAGGCTTAGTTTCTTAGAAGCTGTTATTCTGAGAATTGTAGTTTATGCCCAGTTATTATTATTATTATTATTATTATTATTATGAGAGAATCTACCTGCTGCCACTCCAAAGAGAGCGCTTGATGGGGTAACTAATCCCTTGGCGGAACCTAGCGAAGGCCACCCACCGACATCAGACTCATACTTGCTTTGACCCACTGAAGAGGCGAGACCGTAATAGAGGGTATTCGAACTCGAGATGGGGGGTTCCCAACCATGCTCGCTCATCAAACACTCTAAGCTTCAGTGGGTATTTGTGCCCAATTATGTTTGTGATGTAGTGGATCGTCGGAAGATGATACTTGCAAGAAGGATTTTAGGATTCCCAATCCAGGGAAGAAGAAGAGAGCTTTCTCAAAGCTTCAAAAGAGTGTTTTTATCATTCAATGATTTTTTCTTCTACAAGACCTCCTATTTATAAGACTAAAAGAGTATTCTAGAAAGAAATGACAACAAACTAGGTAAAGTGCTCCTAAGGAACCCTCTTAGCTTAAGATGCACCGCATCAGTTTGTTTCTTGTAAGATTGAACATATAGTAGGCAATATGCCAATATGTTTATTTAGGGGAATTTACATACCTTACTAAGTTACCATATAAGATTCAGTTGAACCCATTTTTTATACAAATCTTAACTCAGATGTTCTGATAAAAATAGATTCTCTAAACCAATTTTACACTTATGTTGATTAACCTCTAATTATCGGTGCAATTGCAAGTTTTCTAGCTTTCTTATCTATGCATTCCTGCTATCTTTTGTTGTTTGATAGATGTTTTCATTTTATAATTATAAGACAATAAAATTATTTTTTAGCACATAATATGAACTTGCAATATATGATTGAATAAAATAATATTCTATTATTCTCTCTCCATTATATTTGAGAAGATGCATCTTTCAGACATATTTAAATGCTATTGTTTTGCTCCAATAATATCATATTATTATATATTTCTATAAGTTCTTAACATCAACATTTATGGTTTCATAACAAAACCACTGAATCTATAATTTTGAAATATTTAATAAATGATTGATTTTAGATTTTGAACCATGGCCTTCACAATTTGAATTGAGGAAACCTTCAAATGTTGAGCCCAGGGCTTTGTAGGTTCACGGGGAAGAGGAGCCTTCACTGTTCTCTGCTCAAGAAGATAGGGTTGAAAGAGCTAGAGGAGCATCTCTTGGGCAATGCTGATGCCTAGGAAAGATGACAATTTCATTCTCTTGGGAGTAGTAGCTCTGTGGAAAATGCTCAAAATTTATTGGAATCAACTTTTTTTAAAACGATCCTACATGTTCTATATATGTTTAGAAGTTCCCCAAGTATTTGTGAGTTATTTCATAATGACCTATTCCTATCTTTAGGATATTTCATGATCTAGTTTTTTGCCTTGTACATTTTTATGACCGCTACACTTTAGAGGATATTGGGTTCAATACCGTCTATGAAAAGATGTCTTCAATATCTTAATGTATGGATCAAGTCCAAAGAGGGAGAGAGAGAGAGAGAGAGAAGAACAGAGCAGAACACGAAAAGAAACATAAGATGGAATGGAAGAAAGTAATTCTTTTTGTTATCCCTATAGGTTACAGCCTTTCCAATATATATAGACATTATGGAATATAATAAGGCTTATACCAATGGCTAATTTCCACCTCATTAATACAATCATATTATTACATTTATACATCCCCGCAAACTGATGGATCGGGTATGACCGTCAGTTTGTTTCTTAAAAGATGGAATCTAGGTGTAGATAAAGGTTTGGTGAAGATGTCCACAATCTGGTCGACGGTGGAAATGGGCAGAAGACGTATGTGATTGTTTAGAATATGATCCCGAATAAACTTTTGATCAATCTCGATGTGCTTTGTACGTGCATGAAAGACTGGGTTGTTAGCCAAGGCAATCGCAGAGATGTTGTCACAGTGCATGTACGTGGGTTGATTTTGAGGAATACCGAAGTCATTTAGAAGACGACGTAACCAAATGACGTCTGATGTGAGGGCTGCCAGGGCACGATACTCTGATTCTGTAGATGATCTGGCCACTGTTCTTTGTTTTTGAACTGTCCAGGAGATTATGGTATTTCCTAGAAACGAACAATAACCTGATGTGGATTTTCTGGAGTTTGTATCACCAGCCCAATCGGCATCTGAAAAGGATGATAAAGATATATTAGATTTTGATATTGGTATACCGTAGTTGATAGTACCTTTAATATATCACAGAAGACGTTTGAGGAGGTATATATGTTGAGGTAGGGGTTGATGCATATGTTGAGATAACTGATTGATGCTATAAGCGATATCTGGACGAGTTAACGTCAGATATTGTAACGATCCAATTAGCCTTATGTAGATGGAAGGATCGGATAGCTTTGGATCATCAGGAAACGTAAGAGGGAGCTTTGTACAATTTGGGTTGGCCAGCGGTTTGCACTTAGTTAAATTGGCTCTTTGCAGAATTTTGTAGGCATATTTCTTCTAAGAGAGGAAATAGATCTGATACGAGCGCTTGATATGCAACCCGAGAAAATCATGCACTTGGCCTAAATGCTTCATACATAAATTTGCATTCAG